TTGTCAGACAGTGGCACCAATCAAGCATATAATACATGAGAACAAGCTCAGGCTCCAACACATACAGGCTGTTTCATAGCCATTTTTCTGCTCCACTTGAACACCTACCCTTTTGAGGTGCCACAAGATGATTTTAAGTTATGCATATATTGCTCACTATCAGCATTTACATATTCAGCAGAAAATTGCCTAGATCCTGACCAACGGAACGCAGCTTGAGGCGTGACAGATGGAGATTGGCAGTGATGTTTCTCTAAAGAGATACGTATATTTGAAAGGAATAAATTTATATAGTGTTCCCTACACTGTAGGTAATGAGAAAAGCCACAGGAAGTATCTTCCTGCCTTTCTTTTCTCCAAAAATCTGAAGTATGTAAAACACATTTTTATTTCCTTGTCTATATTCTAGTCAGTGATGTTAGCCCAGCTTGGAAGAGAATGTTTGGTAATTGCCACTGCAGAGCCAGCAAAGGAAATGAAAGAATGAAAACTGCTGCAGGACAAAGCTGCAGGTAAGATCCTGTGCATCAAAGTGCAGCAGTATCAGTTTGCTGCTCTGTGTAGAAATGCAGAACGCATACAATTCACTACTCATCTGCATTTTGAACTTTTAAGAGAAAACTGGAAATGGCATAGACTGAAGGCAGCTTTCCTAACAGATGAAGGCAGGAAGAAAAAAAGCACTAAAACCTAGTGCCACTTTTCACCAGTGCTCTGGTAAAATGGATTATTACACAGAAGTTCAATTTCTAGTTCATAAATGTTAGTGTTCAGAAGAACAGAACTCTTTACTCTCCTTTGTACCTAAACATCAAATTCAGAAGTCTCACCTTCACCTTTCCCAACACTACTGAATGAAGGGAGCAGGGACAGGTGGGGAGAAGGGGAATATCCTTTACCAAGCATCTTGTTAATCATCACCTTCATAGGAGCTAGCTTGAACACCAAGGCATCGTACCCTTGACAGACAGAAATAAGCACAGGCTAAGAATTCATCCAAAGTCCACAATCCTTTGTGCAGATGGCTACAACACCTGCCCTCACTTCTGCTAATGCTTTATCTCTGTTCTGCTGTCAAACCTGCAATTCAGCACCACAGACCAGAAGAAACACGAAGCAATGTACACACAGGAAAAACTCAAGCAAAATTAATTCTCATGATCAGTCCACATAAGATGACAAATACTCTGCTGGTACCCCTTATGTACAGGGCCTTAAGTATATTGCTTTTTTTTTTTCCCTCCTCTACCAAAGGAGTTTATCGTTATGATCCCATAACTACTTCTGATTTTTCAAAGCTTCCAGCATATATAAATAAAATCATTAACAAAAGCAAAGATTTTCATTCAGAGGCAGTCAGCAAATATGGAAAACTGACAGCATCAGTATAATAACCTTAAAATAATATAACAGTTCAGTATCACAGTGATTGTGAAAACATACTAATGTTGCCTTTAGTAGTTTGGTGAATTAATCTGAACTGGAAGAACAAGATGAATTTTTACAATGCACCGCTTCCTTTTTGCTCAGCGTGAGATTTTAAGTGTCGTTAGGGAACTAACACTTAACTATTTCATATACAAACTGAAACACTTATAGGCCAAAAGGCTTCAGGTAGCACACAACAGTTAAAAATAAGTCAATTGTTAAACAGTCACATGAACAGAACCTTGAGGTAACTGTCAAGTGTAGATTTAGAGTAGAAAAAGAAACCCTGGTTTTGCTGAACGGTGCCGTCAATGATCAAAATTAGAATTCCAGAGATCCAAGAAAGCTGGTTTGTGTGTCATACAAAAGTAAAAACCTCAAAATTAAAGACAAAAGGCTGCCATCCAAATAATTTTATTCAAAAATAATCAGTAAGTACTCTTCAATTTTGCTGACAACCACTGAAAACAGGAACTAATTTGCTTCTTCAGAAGATCACTTTCCAGCTAGGCCCCAGCTCTGGGAAAGAAGAAGGAAAAAGAGGAAACAGCAGTAGCCTATTTTATTTTGTTTTAAACAATTCTAACATTCAAGATATTCATTAGTACAGTTAGTTATTTCATACTACTATTTCAGAAATAGTTAGCAGAATAGCTTCATATTAAACTGTATACTTCAGATTGGATATAGGAAGAACAGAGAAAGAGAGGCCTTGGCTGGTTGTATTTGAGTTTTTCTATTCTTCCCACTTTACTCCTGCCAAACCACCAGCAAACATCAGCAGACTTCAGGTCTGGATACTTTCCAGTTAACACAAAGGCCAACAAAACCAGAAGTTGCTAGAAATACATAAGGTTTTGGGTACTCAGAGCTTGAATAACAAATATAGATAGAAACTGAAGTTACCAAGTCTCAATAAATACAGCAAGTGAACTGAGAAAAGACTGAAAAAGCACCATGAACACTGTTAACTACTCATAGTGAAAAACAGTAATCAAAGCTTCCAAGTAGGAATTCTTCAAACTTCTGTTGCTGTTCATAATGACACAGGCCATCCTCACACACTTGACAGGATGCCAGACACCAAGTTTTATGAAGCAGCCACTAGCTCATGAAAAGAATGGTGAACTTGAGAACTGCAGCTCTGTACTGTAACCAGAGGACACAGAAGGAAACAGCAACCTTTCTTTCCTCTGGGAAAGGCAAGGCAAGTAGCATTTCAAACATTAAAGCAGCTTGAAGAAAGCTGTCAGTTTTTACCTCCTGAATGGCAACACCATGCTCTGCTATAGAATCATTAGAATAAACCAGCGTAAGGATCCAGCATACTGCCAGAGATGTAAAAACCATAGAAGCAGCTTTTATGACATACTGCCCACAAAAGAAAAGGCCAATCACTTTTCCTCTTCACTCAGCTGTTTTACAATTGCAAGTCAAAGGTCAACTATCTTCACTCACTTTTGGAATTCTGCCACAAGACTACTAATAACCACAGTTCAAATGCTATTCAATCAGGTTCTGAATACACTGGTGTTCAGCAATAGTGGCACCATGACATCACAGCCAAGTTATCTGCTAAAAAATCAGATGAAGTCAGACTGGGTGCACCTTTGCCTTCTCTATGCAAACAGAATAACACAAACTTTTAAGGAGTGGGAAATAAAGGGTTACAGATTGTGTTCTTTCCTTAGTGTGGTTAAGGCATAACATTTCTCTACAAAACAATTTCCTGCCATCAATTATACATGCCATCAAATTTACTTTGCCTTCCAAAGCTGCATCAAGATCACTAAAGCTAGGTAATAGCTAGATTTGGAGAAGCCTAGACATTTAAAGCTACACATGTGCCTCAGCAAAAGCTATCTTATGACAGAAGTGTATAGCAGCATTCAACGCGCTACAAGTTTATCTCTCTTTCCAATTCACTCATTCAAGGGCAGCAGATCTGACTTGATAAATAAAACGAATTACATGAGGAACATGAATGGGATACTCTGAGACTTTTCAGTCACAAGTATAATACTAAAGAAACAGAACTGGTATGCCTGATGAAAATTTCTACAAACTGAAAGGCATTTGAAGTGACAAACTGTGTTTCATTATATTTGTTTTCCTTTCCATTTAGCATTTTCTGCAAGTTAACTTCAACTATTCTCTTCTTCAAATACACACTTCAAATACAAAAGCTGAGGGCAGTCAGCAGTGACTGAAAACAGAAAATAAACAAAGTTATCGCAGAAGAAATCTAGTGTTATGACAGTTCTGAACATTTCAAAACATCAAAAGGAAATATTATGGTAATTACGTAAATATGAGAATTGAGGCACACAGGTCTAACAGGTGATGTTAGGCCCGTCATGGGCCAGGGATGTGAAAGACATAGCAGATACAATTATTTTAAAAGTACAGTTTCAAGGCAGGATGCATTTTTGCAGCCATGCAGCAGTACCGCATTTCTAACAAAGCCATGATTTATTCCATAACTTATTACTGAAATGCCAACTCTAAAAGAACTGTGTAAGTTTACATGTAGAGGACCTTTTTCCTACTTATCTTAAAATACTGCTAAATCAAGCCCTTTCCTGGTAAAAATTTTAAGCAGCTAAATAATCCCATTGAGGTCTGCAGGAGTTATTTGTCAACATGCACAAAGTCAGCCCAACATCTGCAAAATTGGCACTACTCAAGGCAGTCTCTACTCAAAGCAATTTAGAAATCAGCACCTTAAAATATTTCTATAGTAAATGTATCACACTTGGAAAGAAATGCCCATCTTATACTATCATGGTGTAACACTGACTGAATAAAACTCAATTACATGATACAAAAAAAGCTCTTACTAGCCAGAAATAAGCTTAGAACTATGCTTCACTGAAGCCAAATCACTACAGATTGACATTTTACTCTCCCCACAACCAAATTTTTGGGCTTGTTCTGCGTTATTTCAAATAAAGTTTTAGAAATTATTTCTCAAAGTCCTTTAAAGAGGGGTTTTCAAAAGCTTTTGATGTATTGAAAGAACTGTAGATCAAAATTCCTCTAATGCACTCAAACATCCACTTACATATGCACAGATTCATTAAACATAAAGCCACTCACTCACATTCATCAGGCCAGAAGATAAAATTCAGCACCAACATTTGAAAGCCTGATGCTAAAATATTATCTACTAAGAAAGAAACCTAATCACTGTTCTTGACACCAGAATCTTTGGCAGGAGGCAAAGGAAAGGATCACCACACTGATCTTGATTACTTTAAAGGGCAATCTATTGTGGAATGAAATTCAGCACAGAGTGCACTGTATTGTACTTCTGCTTATTTGCAGACTAAGTTTTCAAATACTCCACAGTCTGAGAAGAGAGGAGGAAAAACTCGGGGACGTGGTTAACACAGAAAGGAAACAGCATCTGCTCTGGCCAGCCTGGGCTTGAGGAAACCCTAGGGTACCCTATTAATCCTCCACTGAGTCCCCAGCAAAAGCCAGGTCCAATGGACCGGAAATGACTGACCAGACAGAAGTCAGAGGGGAAGGCAAAAACGGGAATCCCTAATCCCTTACCCTCCACTTACCTTAAGTATATCCCCCCGTTTGAAGCTTAGCTCGTCATCTGCCGTAGCTTTGAAGTCGTATTTGGCGATGGCTTCCATGCTGGGGCTGCCGCACCAGGCAGTGCGGGCAGTAGGAAGGAAGCACTCCCCGCAGCCTCCTTTCCTCCCGCGGCGGCTCCCGGCTCAACCCTCCCACGGTCCGGCTCCACTCGAGGCGCCGGCCCCGTCTCTCACATACAGGGGAGGCCAGGGGACGATCCGCCCTAGAGGAGAGAGAGGAGGAGGAAGAGCCGCGCCATTAGGGGAAGTGGCCCGGATCGATGGCCGGGGCCGCGCCCAGAGCCGCTCCCTCCACCCGGCGCGGCGCGGCAGCCGCTTCCTCCCGCCCGTGCTCGCCCAGGCCCGGCTCCCCTGAGTGACACGGCCGGCGGCCAATGGGGCCCCGCAGCCGGCGGCCGAGGGTGGCACCAAGAGGAGCCGGCGGCCCGAGGTGCGGCACAGTCCGGTCCCGTGCAGCGAGGCACGGCTCCGCCCGCGGGGGCAGCGAGAGAGCGGGGCGCGCCGGCAGGAACCGCTGAGGGCAGCGCGCTCCGATCCCCGAATGGAAAACTCGTGCTCGAGACGCAGCTTACACAGTGCTACCGTTGCGTTTTCTTCCATTCACACAGTTTACGCCGATTTAACTAGATTTTAATAGACAAGCCAACGAATAATTCTGTACATCTTAGAAGTCCTATATTCTTACATAATACTCTATAAGAGCACTTAACAGGAGTGTCTATCAAAGTGACATAAAATTATATATAAACAACAGTTTGGGCCCAGTCTAACATGAAAGCAACCTTTCTAAAGCTCTACTGTCTTGAGCAGTCAAGTATGTCAAACAATAACAAACATCTCCAGAAGGAGCATGTGAAAGCAGCGCTGAGTCCAGCATCTCTTATGGCACCAAAGAAGAGATGACACCAAATTTGGTATTACATACACAGACACCCTGGAACTCCTTAACCTCCATATAAACCTCAATCTAGGTTAGAATAGGATTTAATGTAAGCCTAGATTCATTTGATAGCAGAGAAGGTAACAGAACTGAAAGAAGGAAGATGGTGAATTAACAGCCATCACAAATAATCCCATGCAGAGTGAGCAGAGAGCTGATGCTTGTCAACGACTCTCCAAAACAGAAGAGATCTTACAAACATCAGTTCACCCACACACCTGCTAATTCAGTATTTTGTTGTCACAGTCCAGAAAGAGCAGTGTTACTCAGAAAGGCACCATTATAACTCCTCTGTGGAAAAAAAGAAATCTGCCTTACATGAATGCAGTGAAGCAGAGAACGTGCTTGTCCAATCTTCAGCTCCATAAGTAGTGATGAAGCTTGAGACAAAAAAATAGAACAAAGATCTCTACTGCAGTAAACTGGCAGAATGAAAAGGAACACTTAAAAAAACCAAAGAACATCTCATTAAAGTCTCCACATTCACAGAGTTCGGGGCTTTCTTTCGTACTCCTACACACTGCTAGCAAAACACCAATAAAACTAACAAAGCTGTCAACAGCCACGAATACCACAACTGAACAGTTTGTCTGTGCTATTGGAACTACCAGAAATAAATGTACAGTATCCAAGCTTAGGATCTTTTAACTGTTATTAACTGTTAGAAGAAATCCACTGCACAAAGGGAAAAAAGCAAGCTTACTGTGGAAGTGTCTTGTGCTATGTCACTGCCCACTGGAAGTACAGCTGTAGGCATTCACTCTTGGCAGACTGCTGTGAAACAGGACACACCGCACACTACTGAACCTTAGCTCCATAAGCTTAACTAGGGTAAGACGGGTAGGAACATAAGCACAGTCAAAACATGAACACAGTGAGTACACATTACAAGAGTTAACAGCTGCTGCTCGAATAAGATCATCTAAGATTTCTCAGAACATCACTGTTTTCCACCTCTTGCCTTACTGAGTTTTGCTCTTAAAAAAAAAAAAAAAAAAAAAAAAAAGGGAAGAGGAAGAAAAGGCTGCAGATGCAGCTAACAGCAAACTTTTATTTGCAATACAGTGCTGCAGATCAGGAAGGAATACAAGTAATTATAAATAGAAACCTCATCACTGCAGCCAACAGGAAACAATTCTCATGATCTTTTTAAGTGATATTTCAAAAAACATGTAGGTAACGTAGGCCTCTTACACTGCTCCTACAAATAGCTTTTTTTTTTTAATAGCAGGTAAGAGCTTTTAATTTTTCTCATTTTACTATTCCTCTGGAGTCTGATATGGAGAGGAGTAGAACAGTATAAAGCAGATAAAGTGAGGGAAGGAAGAAAACGGATTCAGCGGAAGATTTTGCAAAGAATTAGAGTCTAAGCCTCATCAGCTGTTAGAGGACAAAACATTACTAAGGGTATTGGAAAGAAAAACATGTGGATACATCATCAGGAAGACATGCAGAGATGTTAAGTGTCAGCTCTAAACAAAAGAATAGAAAGGAGAATCAGTGCTCTGCACTTAAGATTTCAAATTAACACAACATAACAAAACAAACTAACCAGGTGAAACAGAAGTTATCAACATACACAAGCCAGAACACAAAGGATAATAAATGATATTCACTTGGCACTCAATACCTCATAGCTTAATACATTTCACCTTCCTTAAGTACATATTGTCAGAGGACAAGTCCAGATATCAGTACAAAACTATGCTACAGTAAAAAGCACAGATATTTATCAGATCAAATCATTTCATTGAGTAAAGAAGATTAGCTTAGCAGAAATTTATTCTCACTTTCTTATTTTAGATTGTATAAAGAAAGTTCAAATACTGTAAGCTTCTCTGGTATTATGAAATACTTCAAACACTACATGACTCAATCATGAGAGATTACAACAACTCAATGACCATTTTGGGCATAAATTCTCGATGTACAACACTTGTGCAGAACCGGATTACAAACGACATTGCATTTGAAGATTAACAATCCTTCAAATTTCAGCTCTTGACAGAAAACATTTAACTTTTAGAACAAGGAACAAACTTCCCTAAACGCTGTATTTGATCTACAAGTTATTCTCCCAGTTATTAAGTATATTTCATAAAACTTTCTCTTATGTCATAAAAGAGAACACTATTTGAGGACAGAAGTTGTGAGTTAGTAAGGCTGTATCCATGTCCTCCATAGTTTACTTGAAACTGTACTGCCAAGTTAGGGCCAACTGCACAAAACCAACCCTGAATCTCAAAGCAGGAAGTTCAGAAGAGAAAGAAAAAGCTAAGGAAAAAAACTGCTATCTTAGAGCCTCACATTTAAAGCTCGACCCAAAAGGTTTAGAAGAAAGAAAAGTATTGATGCTAACCTGCCTACGGGCTAGTCACAACCTCACAACCTTTCAACCTTTGGAAAAGACCTAAAGCTACAGAACCCCTTTGTGGAAGGTTTAAAACATATCCCAAGAGCCTTCCCCTCGTGCACACACCCCCACAGACACACCTCCAGACCCAGCTCTCAGGTCAGCTGGGGACCCAAGCAGAATCGCAGAATAGCCAGGGTTGGAAGGGACCTCAAGGATCATGAATCTCCAACCCCCCTGCCACATGCAGGGCAACCAATCTCCACATTTAAAACTAGACCAGGAGGCTGCTCAGGGCCGTATCCAACTTGCCCTTGAAGACCTCTAGGGACAGCAGCACCTGACCAAACTCCTTCCAGCAGACAACACAGGTTCTGGTTCCACCTCTCCCGGCCCAGGCCGCCCAGCCAGCCAGAGCCTCACCTAGAAGCACGCACCGCCTCTCGGACTCGGGCCCGCAGCCTCGGCACTGCGGAGCGCACCGTGGAGCACGGAGAGAAGCGGAGCCCCCAGGGAGCGCAAGCCACGATAGAGAGGGCCGCCCTCCGCCAGCGCTCAGCGTCCTCTCAGCAAGCCGGGAAGCCAGGCCTGGAAAAGCCTTCCCATCACCGGAGGGGGTTGAGGACGGGGGGGGAAAAATCGGCGGCGCGGCGCCGATCCGCCCCGCCCCTCCCCCCCCCCCCCCTCCCCCGCACTCACCACGCAGCGCTGGGGGCCGCCGCCCCGCCCGAGGTTTCTCGCCGCCTGCTCGCCCCTCCAGCGCCGCCTCGGTTGCCGCCCAAGCTCCAACCCCGTCCCGCGGTTCCCCCTCCGCCTGTTCCGCCGCGGCCGCCGCCGTCCCCTCAGCAACTCTCGCGAGAGCGGCCCTGTCAGCCACTCGGTGCTCCGCCCGCTGTGGATGCGGCGCTTGCGCACCCACGTCCCTCGTGGAAGACAGGCAGCGGCCTTCGCGCATGCGCAGCTCACACGGACGGGTGCCGGGACCGGGCTCCGTGAGGAGAGACACGTGGGTGTAGCCTCTTGGGCCGAGGCATGGAGCCATCCTTAGGGAAACGAGCGGCATTCGTAATACATTCGTTATCCCCATGAAAAGGAGGAAACCGTGGCTGCTGGAATTCCGACGTAAAACCACTCTTCCCCCCCCCCCCCTCCAAGATATATGCCTATATGCCTCCTTTATCTGTGCCTCTGCTATTCTGGAAGACAGGGAGGCCTAACTGCATGGTGTGTAACATGAAATGCATTTGGAAATTTACTGCTAGGGAAAATTACATGCCAGCATGAATGCTGTGCTCCTCAGCCTGTGTTGGAACTGAGAGGATGCAGAGCTGCACACTTGGTGCTCTATAACCATCTATGCTGAGCTCTGCTGAGGCACCCATGCTGAAAAACAATGCATTAAAATGTGTGCAGAGACTAGACTGAGCATGCAGCTCATTCTAAGGTTTAATTATATGGCCCTCTTACAATTCTTTTAGCTCTAAGAGACTGTAATTGCAATACTCAACTCATCAATGAAGCAACTGCATAGAGAATATTTCCTCACGCTCTAGAGAGAAAAGCTATTTCTGAAACAGAGGCTTTACACTACCAATCCAAAAAGGAGCCAATTATACAATACATCCGCTTGCCAGTTTCCCAAAACAAGCAATGACCAGCCACAAGCAAACTATAGAGGGTTCTCTCCTGCTCACTTTGCAGAAATCATTCCTCACCCTTTGAAAAGAAGCTGAGATTGGGAATGTGGAGTCTAAGCATAGCATGTAACAAAGTGCAGATCTCATACCTGGGCTCATCTAAATTCAGGATTATTCTGACTGAAGTCTGACTACATCTCAGTTCAGAGTACAGAATTGATATTTTGTTTTATGACAGTTGTATATCTCAGCCTTCAGTTAAGTCCTCCTTAAAAAAACAAAAACAAAACAAACACCAAACTGGTTCAATTCCTTCAATTCCCCTGAAAGGGGATTCATGGTTTTGTCCACACCAAGATAAGAACATCAAGATATATACTGTTACTTCATACAACTCTCCTTATAAACCATGCTCTGCAAACACTAGTAACATTTTCAATCTAAGTGTTTAAGCAGCTTGATGAGGATTCTTGAGAGGGTTGGTTTTTCTGTGGTTTTTTAAGCTTCATTTTAGTATGAAATTTGTGGTTTAAACCCTTAGAAAAATGTTTTCTCATACTAGTAGCATTGCATTTAAGGGATTATAATTCTAATTTCTTACCAGATTTGGACATCAGGGGAACATATGAATTCTTCTAATACTTCAATCAAAAATTGGAAAGGGTAGAGAAAAAGAGCTTCGAGAGTTAAGGATGTTACGAATGTTTCAGACATTCTTTCTGAGGATGCAAAAGTAATTTACCTAGGATGACACAGACTGCTGAAATCAGAGCCAGTTTCTAAGATGTCTGAAGTCCCCACTGCTAGCACAGAGCTAGATTCTCTGGTTTCACATTTGACTTCAAAGGGAAGATTTAGAACTTCTTAATAAGCCCTCTATAAGTTAAATAACATTCACAGCAAAGTTACAGCAGGCACTTTTCACTGGACTTGAAAAACCAGATATGGCTAGCAGCTACCAGATGAACAATGGCTACTTTAAGAGGCTGTAGCTGCCTGACTTTAAAAGGGCAGTCCTACAGGACCAGATAAGCAACAGACTTCAGAAATAGCAGAGATCAAAGTGTTATAGAAAAATGCTCCTAATTGAGATACACTTGTCTACAGATCAATTAAGGTTGGTTGTTCACCCTCATTGCAAGTCAACACGTTAAAGTGTACAACTTATTGTACAAATACCAGTGCAGCTTCACTGCAGCAAGAGCTGAAATACCAGCACAGCTGTAAGCTAGAGTGAAAGAGATGTTTTGCTAGAGGATCAATTTCAAATAATGTTGTGGTCCAGGAATAGCATGAATCTTCTATGACCATTTGTGGTGATAAAAATCTGAGAGTAGTTCTGAGTATTTTAAGATTTAAGATAAAACTTTGTGCCTGACACTTCTTTAGGATCTTTTCTTAAAGACCTCAAAGCAGCCTACAGAAATCAATGTACGATTTTTTTTTTGCTATTAATAGATTTAAAGCTTTATTTTTGCACTACTAGCCATCTAAAACTTTAATTACATTTTTTAAAGGTAATTTTAATTTTTTTTATTTAAATTACAGTTAAAATTACTGCTTGGTATATGCTGTATTAATACAACTTTACTGATGACATGAGGCTTAATACTTGTAACAGCAGTCATGTTAATATTAGTTATTGAACACAAGCCTTAATGATATTTTGACACCACTTTTAACCTAAGCTACATTAATGTCTGTGTCTTTGCAATGGAATTCACATAAGCTTCTACCTTAGAACTCAGAACTCACATTGCATGTCATCTAGAAGCTATTTTCTGTCACAGCAAATCATGACCCTGGTGTACATCTTAACATAATACTCCACCAGATAAGCAGCTCTGGCATATATTTAGACACAGTATACAAATTTATATTTTTGTTACTATCATAGTGCTACTGGATGCTGCAAGTGTACTTCCTTGTAGAGCCAATGCAAGAAGCTAAATATAAACCAGGAAGATTTCTGGACTGTTTCTTCTCATTCAAAGGAGTAAAAACATGACCTCTCACTCCCGCTTGCTGAGGGCATCAGCACATACGACTTCAAAGGCAGGTCTGAAAACTAAGCATCATAGCTTGAATTGGAGCTCAGAGGCCTATTCCTCAAGCAAGAGAGCTACTGAACTTACCAAGGGTTCATAATTCGAAAATATTTGCTGTAGCTTTAAATCGTATCCATTCTCTTCATTGCCAAAGAAATTATCAGCTTTAATGGAAAGAACAGAGCTAGAGTGGTCTCCAACTTCTACATGCATTCATCAATAAAGTTAACTACAGCAGAACCTCTCTAGTGACAGTGCAAAACAGTAAGGGCTCAGGAAGCAGTCATCCCTTTCAGAAGGGCAGAGGCTACATCAAGGAAAATCCAAGCTTTGCTAGAAAACAAAGCACATAATCCTTAGTCTGCAGAGCTTTAATTCATCCTTGTTAAGTTGATGGGAAGTTTCATGAGACAAATTCTTTAAGGCTTCTAATCAATTGAGAGAAAAAAAAAAATCTGAGTAGTTTAGATACTGTCAGTATCAGAAATAAAATGGGAATTAACTTGGGATATAATTGTCTGATTCTAGCAGAGGAAATCTTCAGCCTTGATGAATACCTAGCTTCCTCGTACTTATGATTCACTGACTTATCACCTTTTCAACAAGCTTTTGAAAACAAACTTTGTTTAAGATAACATAGCTTGAACTTGTATTTCAGGCTGTCTTCTAAACCACAAAGAGGACTTCACTGTTAGAGCTCTCCAAAGAGCATCAATGTCCTTTCTGCAGTCTTGAAATTTGTTCCCAGCCTCATTCTCCTCATAGAGAGCTGCTATCAAGAGCTACAGTACAGTAAACAATGGCCAATAACTATGAATGTTAGGAACTGTCTTCAGTATTTTTTTTTTTTGTTAAAAACTGCTTCTGGCACAGAAAATTAAACACATTGCTAGTATGTACCTTTCTTCCTCCAACACATTTCCTGACTTCAAAAAACTGCAGTGTTTTGTTAGTTTTTGAAAGCAATACTCTGGCTAGTTCAGCTCACCTTCAGATGGCTAAAGCTTCATATCACAATTCTGCATTATATCACTGCAGTTCACATAGCATGCTTTGTATGACTGTAGTTGTATGAAAACAACCTGATGTATGAACCCAGACAGAAGGCTTTCTCCTATTGAAAACAATCCAAGTAATCTGCTAACTAGAATGCAGAATAGCCTTACACAACTCAAGAAGGCCCTGATTAGTTTTCCAGCAAGCTGAAAACATAATACCGAAATACTGTTCTGGCAACTGTGGGAGAATTGATTTCCTATACATTTCAGAGGAACAGGGTGCAGCTAATAGAGGAATGCTAGGAATGTAAGTACAGCAAGGAGAGAATGCTGGGAGGGGGATCTGTTGCAAGAGCAACACCACCTCACACCAATCCATGGTGGCCTCAGTTATGAAAAAATCAAGCCTGGGAAAATGACCACAAAATCCTCAACTACTCCATTTACTAGATGATAAGGTGTCCCAGAGCTGAAGTTGCTTAAACAAGTGTGCCTCACATGATAAAACAAATGACCTACTCTAGAAAGACCAAATACATTGAAAGAGCCTAGCATCTAGGCTATAGTCTGAAATCTGTACACAAAATAGATTTGCAGATACTACTTACAGATAGAAGTATTAAAATTATTACCAAACAAGCTTGGTCCATTAGTGGATCTACCGCATTTAACTAGTACTACCACAGTTCCTTAAAAACCTTAGGAACTAGGTTTCTGGTCTACTCCCCCCTTTTCCCCCCCACCCCCCTCACACACACCTGTATCTGCAACACTGAGAGGCAGTGCTAACAAGAAAATCTGATCGCAAAAGAATTTGATCTGTCCAAGTGTTTTTTCTGTCTTTTTCTTGAGAGCAGATAAGTGAATGGAGTGGATAACTAACTAGTTTGCTACATACAAAAGACTTAGTTTCATTGCAGTTGGCAGCTGTTAGCTGTAGATGCAACAAATATAAATATCCATCTTCTACAGATAAGTTCACTAGAAATCATACCACAAACTGATGCCACACCATTCAACAGCACTGGGAACAGAATTGATGGCTCTTGACTTGTGAGCCTTGTAACTATCAACTACTCCTCCCTGTTTAGAAACCATCCTAATGTTCTGCTCTGACTTTCTCACATACACTGACATTAC